TACTAAAATAGGCATTCGGAGGGTCGTTACAGAGTGTAATTGCTTCTATGTCGCAATCATTGTCTATCGGATGGCAGACGTTGGGGCCGAATATCTGCATGTGTCCAGAGGGGTTAAGACCTAAATCTGACACGGAGGTACGAAGGAAACGAAAGACAAAATGATGAGGATTGTGATATACAAGGCAAAAAGAATGAAAACGTCACGTATGCTCGTTCCCCCAGTTTCCCAAACAGATGTAGCATGTTTGATGGGCTCGACTAACTTCTCTAACATAAGTCGTCATCAGCAAAGTGGGTAGAGACGTAGAATTCGGTTACGGATTCTCATCGTCTTTGGCAACGAAGACATGCTTGCTCCGAGTTGCCACCTCCGTCATGCCTTTTCCACTCCCAGTAACTCCAACTATAGAAAAAGAATCGTGTGAGTATAAGGGAATAGATAAAGAGAATTGCGGTAAGACACCCACCTCGACCAAGAGGGTTGTCGGGCGTTTTGAAGATACTGGTCCCGGCAACTCCAGCAATGTGCACCCCCTTCTTTTCTGACTTCTTCGCAAATTTTTGCCATGTCGCCTGTTTTTGGGTCTGCTCCTTGGCTTTGGCTGCCTTTGCCTCCAGCTTCTTCTCATTCTTCTTCTTCTTTCGCTCCCGCTCCTCCTCCTCCTGCTTGCTCAGCTTGCGTTTATTCGATATCGGTGCATTGTAGGTGAAGTTTGGGGGGAGTGATCTGACTTCAGATGCTTTCACCTGCTCTGTCGTGTTGTAACCCTTGAATACAATGCTGTAAACACGGTTGTCTGCGGAGCCCCCTACTGACGTTATCCTCGCTGGATACCAACCCCCATCGGCTGAGTATTTAGCCTGACACTCATCGCCAGCAGTCCAAGTCTGCACAGGAGTAGCTGAGGAAGACTTTCGCGAAGACTCGACTTTCAATGAAGATGCTAGCTCAGCCTGGGCGATTGCGGTCTGCGTAAGTCCAATAAGCTCCTTCAGCTCCGAACGCAGTGCTTCGAGCTCTGCATTATCTGGGTCAGCAGAGAGTGCAACCTCAACTTGAGATAGCTGGACTTGATATGTCTCTAGATCTGTTCTGTCCATCGTCGAGAAGGAATGCGGTGAGAAATGGATGACGAGGGGTCTTTGTTTGGCTGTCAGAGGTGTGGCAAATATACTGAACACAGTAACTCCAAAAAGGGAATCTAAGTAATACTAGTACTAATGAGTTGGTCAACCAGAAGGCCTTCAATCCCACACACCGCTTCTATCCATCTTCACCCGAGTATCCTGCTTCGCCTTACTACCCTGCGGCCTTCCCGCCTTCCTTGCTGCCCGTTTTGAGTGATATTTCCTCTGCTGCTGCGCTCGACTCTTTGATAGATTCGAGGAAACAATGTTTCTGACACTATTTAGACTGAGAGCCTCTGTCATCTTGGCAAGAGAATCAGGGGATACAGATCTGGATCGGGGGGGTGATCTTGATAGTTCTCGAGTCTCTGATATGTTCGAGACGTCTGATGGATAGTCCTCCGTCCGTCCTCGCGATTTTGCTTGGTGAGGCTCTTCATCCATTGCGACATCACGATACTGAGGTCTGTCAACATCCGTGGTGATGTTTGTTACATCTTCTTCGGCCTTGGGATCTTTGGCTTCGCGTTCGTCTTTCTGGTTTCGTCCTTCATCTTCTCCGTGCCCTGCCTTCTCATCTTCATCTTCGTCATCTTCCTCTTCCTCCTCTTCCTCCTCATCGCGCGCTTCGTCTTCATTGACAGCTGCCATGTACTGACGAACAATCAGTATAACACTCTCTTCATGTATCAATCAAACAAACCTCTTCCAACACTTTCATGTCTCTGTTGCCGAACCCGCTGGCGGCGACAACGACATCCAGCCTGAAATTTGATTCAGATGAATCCTCTGTTGCTATCATCTTAAATCTGGGATACAATGAACTCTCATATCGAAAGCGCCGCTTGAAGAATGTACGGATGCATTCGACGTCGCGATTGAAATACCTGGGAGATTAAATCAACGAGAATTCGATATTGAGAGAAATAGAAGTAGTAACCATTCTGCGTTCACATGTGATGTGCTGACCATCTGAGGGAAATCAATGACGACAGGCTCCCCGCTGTCTCGCCGTATGAGAATGTTGAACTCATTAAAGTCCCCATGAATCAACCCAGCGTGAGCAAATCGCACAATGAGATCCATCAAGGTCGAATAAAGCTTTCCTGGAGATGGAACCTCTGATATTTGTCGCCTTTAGAAAGAGGATTAATGAGAACATTGTAGTGCGCGTTAATTGAGAAACCTCACAAGGGATATGCATCGATGAATTCCATCAGAATACAGTGCCGTGCTTGGTCAATAGGTCTTGGAACAGGAAAATCGTGTTCATGAAGGACCTGAAACATTGTTAGTTACAGAAGACGTTTACGATGGATACTTACCTGCATGAAAGCCCATTCTTTCTGAGCAGCTAAGCGAGACATGTACATCCATGACGCTGATTTCCTCTTTCCGAGATAATCCCGCTTGTCCTTGATTGCGCGAAAGGATATTCGGCCAAGTCTGTCCGGCCACCATGAGGCAAGTTGAAGCGTGTCAAATAGATTCTCACCGATGTAGCTTCAAAACCATTTCCTTGCCTTCCGAATCCGCGACTATGTAGATATCTATCCGTAAAAGTGAGGAGTTGGACCGGCGAAGTGTCTTAATTAGGCTCACCAGATTCCTTCCCGACTCCAATCTGATTTCCGACAGAGTGCATGGAGTCTCTCTTTGACATCGCCCGCATAGCAAGGTAATCGTAACCACCGTATGTCAACCTGTATCCATCGTCTATTTGCAATATATCATTATTCAATGAGAAGGGAAGAGAGGATTGTGGAAGTAAAATTACATTTTGAATTTTGGACCTTTGCGATTAGATTTCGTTTCGCGAGGGAACCGATAAGTTTATTGACACCACCATTCCTCAGGCCGGATATCTGGGCAATAAGGTTCGTGGGGACCACTTCATGATTTTTCGAACCCATCTCAACCTGACAACAGTGCCTTGAGTGGGAAGAAATGCTGAGCGAGCAGAGTACATACTGCTGTTAGAACCCTAAATTCCTCCGGTGTCACATACCGGAGATCGGTAGCATCCAATTTCATCCTTTAAAGTATCAAATTTTTCGATGAGGGAATGATAAGTCAAGTAGACGTTCAACAAATTTCTAACTGGACGGTGGTTTTGGAAAGAAAATCAGTACATTATGTCATACAAGTGATTGACGAAGTTGGAACGGAAAATGCCGATTGTATCCTTTGTTCTCGTCCATTGCGGATGATATGTTGGCTGACGGTTCGAAGAGTGTTCAGGATGCCAACACGGTGAGGAAACTATTTAATAAATGTCCGCTTTCCTGTTTTTGAACCTCTGATCAAGGCATCAGCGGCAGAATTGTCAAGAGCTTTCAGCATATCCGATTCTACGTATGTAGTATGCGATCGTGTGTCCACCTGCACAATATAAATCAACTTTCAACGTAGCTTCGAAGTATTTTCTTCCAGTGAACTATCCAAGCCACTTTGTGAGGATATATTTTCCATGTTAGAAACTAACATGCGGGACTTGTGCGTTACAGCCATGTATACCACCGAGTCTTCTGATGAAGGCTACACTAGTTATTCACAATCTTCTTTTGGTTGGGATCCTGCTGGCAAATGGAAAGAAATGTTTGATCCTCTATCGCGGTTTATCGTAGCTCGGAGGCCGGACACACAGGCATTATCAGGGTACAGCATCTTCAGGTTCGAGCATGAAAACGACTTGGACATGCTCTACTGGTCGGCTTTCAATCTTCATCATTCGGGAATTTTGTTTACCAGGTCTTGTGTAGTTATGAACTCCAAGTATCAAATGCATCCCGACGCAATGGACTTGGACGTAAATTGATGGATCTCCTGGGCTCCATTGGCGAATGTTGGCATATGCAGAAGATCATGCTCACCGTCTTTGAAGGTATGGGACCTATTAACTTGGGATTTTGTAACTAATCTTTTCCTTTTAGCAAATGAGGCTGCACTTGCGTTCTATTCTGCATTAGGGTAGCACTATCTTTCGAGTTACGGCGTACGATCTGACATAAACCACAGCTTTGTCGTGGACGAAACATCGCCGGACAGTGACGATGATGTCGACTATAAAATACTTTCGATGCGGCTTGGAAAACGCTGAATGCTTTATGGTACCGGAAAGAAGCGAAGCCAGCTGGGGTACCCACATCGATGGTGATGCGGAATAAATCACTATAGCGCACCCGTGCTGCTTCTAGCGAGTACGTATTTGAAAGTTGTTAGTGTATTTGACTGCGGAGAGTTGGGCTTTGAAACATTATCAGACACCGTCATTAGGATAGCAAGGCGTTTAGGATGGAAGTTATTTCAAAAGGAGAATATTTACGCCATTTCTGGAAATCTGACGGATGCGGTCATCGATCTGGAGAGATGGGACAAATCGGAAAAATATGGCCTTTGACAGCTCAAAACACTTCGATTGAAGTTCAACGTCCACTGAGCAGCGGGCGCCAAGCACTCGACGGGGGTATCACAAACTTTCCAGGACATTGCAACTTTATATCCTGAATCTTAGGGTAGCGCACGAAACATAGATTTTGACACACCGAAGTTAATTACCTCTCCTCGAGGTAACATCCCTATCATGTGACTGCCAGTTAGAAATAATAGTTCACTACTTGCATGCAAATTTTATTCACAGAGTACAGTCATAAATATGGAATATTTCCAGATGGATTACAGCTCCCGAGACAAATAAAATGTGTGTAAAAACGCGAACACAGACGCTGAAAAATAATCATGTGAAAGGTAAGTAACGGTAAATTGCCGTATCAAAACATCCTCTTTGGGAAGGGGCCGGAAAGAAACCGTAGCTTACTCCCTGGATGTTTCGTGCACTATCCTGTTGAATCTTTGATGAAGAAAAAGATACGCTGGGAGCAGGATTTGAACCTACGCGGTGAAACACCAAGTGATAATTTGACAAATACGTAATCCATGCAAGAATGAACTGTGTTTGTTCAAATCACTCGCCTTAACGACTCGGCCATCCCAGCTTGGAAGTCGGCTAAGATCTTTACAAATACATACCTTAGATCCTCAAGTCATTGAAATCCTCGTCGACATTTCTTGATCACCATCTTCTCAAGCGTCAAGCAATGGACTCGCTCATACCCTTCACAACGTCCGGCGCGCTGGTGGACTGCGTGGACAGTACGTCGCGCAACCGCCATGGCTTACACTGTTCAAAAATAACGTTCCTTTCTGATTTCTCGCGTCCGTGTTGCTTGTAGGGAAGATGCTCGTCATACTCAGAGACGGGCGTAAACTGCAAGGCGTCTTGAGGTCCTATGACCAGTTCGGTGTGTCTTTCCTCCTTCATGTACCTGATTCTGTTACCAACCTTTTGTGTGCCGCGCAGCGAATTTGGTTCTTGAAGACACTGTTGAGCGCATATACCACGGGAATGCTTTTGCAGAGTTTCCGCGTGGTTTATTTCTCATACGGGGCGAGAATGTAGTGCTACTGGGTGAAATTGTATGTTTCGTGGCTGTGACTAGACCATGGCTCAACGGGTTTATAGGACCTGGACAAGGAGGATGAAGTCCCCCTTCGGCAGGTCGACTATGCAACGCTGGAACCGTATCATCAGAACGACATCGAGGCAAAAAAGCGAAGGGAAGAACACAAGGCGCAGATTCTGTTCGAGGAGAAGGGGTTCTGCAAAGAAGGAGGGGAAGGCGATGGATACTAAATTTTTCCAACGGTATCATCTGCTCGACGTCATCTCTACATTACTGATGACCTCTCTATGTTGTGTGTTTCATATTGTACTATTGACATTGACTATCGAGGTGGACTATACATGCAAGTAACAAAGCAGATGATGACAAGACGATGGGCTACAAAAGAGATAAAAATACAAGGTAAGTATCAGATAGGTGGGAAAGTCATGGCAGAAAAACTGTTATCGTTTCTTCCTCTTCAGAGTCTTCCTGTCATCCCCGTTCACCTTCCCCTTCCCCTTGACGTTCTTGATCCCGTTGCCATTGACATTGATGACCTTGCCGTTGCTCTTCAAGGGTCCAGGCTTAACGTCTCTGTCAATATCTGTGCTCTCGGCGCCGATGAGATCCTCCATCTGTTTCCGTATTTCTCGTTCTTTGGTCGTAAGCTTCATGATGGCCTCTTCGCCTTTTGTCTTCTCGTTATTGATGTCATCCCGGCGAATGGACTGCCAACTGTGATGCCGTTCGCAATCCTTGGGACCAGGACACCACCATTCGGCATCAGTATCGTCGGCGTCAGCAGCGTAGCTCTCTTCGACACCATCACCCCACTCCTCCCACTCCTCCTCACCGAAGCAGAGTCGTTGATCCCATCCACAGATATCGCCCCCTGCATCAGCCCGCTGGCACGCCAACTCCCACACCCGTTCTCGCCAGAGAACACACTCCATCGCACGTCGCAATCCTGCTCGCGCCTTCCCAATGGCTTCCAAAGGCCCGGCCAAGCGTTCAATCTCCCGCTCCGCCTGGGTCTTGCTCTTCATCACAGCGCCAGTCTGACAGTGAACCACGACCCCTTCTCGCCTCTCTGCATCTTTCACCTTGGACCATAGCACTTCTCGACTACCACCCTTCGCCGTATACGCCTCGATCCTTCGTCGCATGTACTTGACGCCGCACTCGGGTGAACAATACTTGCTCAAGGCACCTTTTGATGGTCGATGGCATGCCTCAGTAGAGGAAGGGTCAGGATCATCAAGTCCATTGAGACACCTGGTTTTGTATGTCGTCTTCAGGTTCAGTTGAGGATTTTCTGAGTGACAGATCAGTTATAGGAAAGAACTCATAGGCAAAATATCACGTACTCTGAATACAGGGTGGACATATGAACTGGTCCACCAGGTCCACTTCCAGCTCTGACATATTCACGCACTGCATATGATACCAGTCGTCACATCTATCGCAGCCAATCATACAGCGGCCTTCGTCGTACTTGCGCTTGCACACGCAGTATACTTTGTCGTCCTCCACCTCCTTCTCCTTCTCCTTCTCTTCAGGCTTTTCATCCTGACCCTCCTCCTGCGCATCGCCAGGCATGGCACTGGTCGACCGCGATCGAGACGCCGAAATCGATGCTGCCTTGCCCTTTAGAGGCACCGACGCCTCCTTCTTTCCTTTCGGACCAGGTTTCGCACTAGTTTTGACTGTAAGTTTCGTGGCTTTTGGCTTAGGACCGGGCTTCTTCTTCGTCTTGACAGTCGTTGTCGCAGGGGGCGGCATCGACTCCCTGTCGCGCTCCTCAAAAGCCTTCTTCTTCATACTGGCCTTTCTGACAGGTGGAACTGGCGGCAACACGAGCTTCTCCTTCACAGGCTCATCCTGCACCAGACTCAGCAGTTCATCTTCCACGTCAACCTCCATCCGTTCCGCTTCTTCTTCATTGGCATCAGCTATCGGTGTGTCAACATCCGCCAATTCTCTCTCCAGCTCTTTGGTAAGATCATCTTCAGGTGATGTCGATGAGGAATGGTTCGGTTTCTTCTTCTTCGGAGCAGGGGAATCGGCAAAATGCTCGAGGAACCATTCGTGCGCGTCCTCGTGTGTCATGCCGTCCTTGTGGGAGGTGGCAGACAGTGGTCTCTTCGGAGGAGTGAGCTTCTCTTTATGAGCGGTGGCTGATAATGGCCTCTTTGGTGGCTGCTCCGCGTCTTTGTCCTTGTGGTGCACATGCGACGACTCTTTGTGCTTCGGGTGCTTGACTTGTTTCGTCTCCACCTCGCTCCCTGCCAAAGGCATCGGCTCGTCTTTCATAGGAGTGCTAGGTGTCGGGGTCGGTGGCACGACACTTTCCCGCCTCTCCACTTTGACCTCATCGATCATTTCGATTTTCTTCTGTGTGTGTTCTTCAGCCTTTCCGTAAACATGCGCATGGGCGATAGCCCGGCCTGTTTGGCTTCCTGGAGGACTCCGTTTTGTTATGCTGGCCGGAGTAGGAATAATTGGGCTAACAATTCTTTGGGTGGGCGTAGGAAGGAGGATGATCGATGAAGAAACAGGCACTATCGGAGGCGGTATGGGCGGCTTGGAGGTTGAGGAGACACTTGGAGACACTGCCTTGTCGTTCGGAGGTGAAGAGGCAATAGGGCTGACGATTCGTTCTGACGACAATGGTTGTGGATGTCGGGCGATGTCCAAAGATGATGTCAAGGACGATGTTAACGGCACTCTATCCCTCTGCAAGAGGTCTGATAGCGAGCTGGCAGTGCTTGCTTTTTCGCGACGTGGCTCGGAATGAGAGTTAAATGGTTTCTCCCGCAAAATGATAGCCTCGGTGTTCGTGATATCCCTACTTGAAACGGGACTAACAACCTTCTCCTCGCGTTCATTCGTATGTTGAATGATGCTTGAACCTTCCCAATCCTTGGTGGCCAAAGGACTAGGAAAACGCTCTCTGGTAATCATGGGGCTGGGATGGCTCTCCCTCGCGACAACAGGGCTAGGAGGTCTCTCCCTTACAACCGTAGGGCTGGGAACTCTTTCCCTGGTAGATGTAGGACTGATCGCCTTCTCATGAAGCAGATCGAAATGAGTGGCAATAGACAGTCGTTCTCTAGGTAGGGCTATCGACTCCCTAGCGGACGAGTGACTCGGAATGTACTCCTTAGCTATGAGAGGGCTTGGAATGCGCTCTCTAGCTGAAATGGGACTTGTAACATGCTCTCGGGACAAGATAGGACTTGCATTGTGTTCCCTCGAGCTCGTGACTCGTTCCCTGGTCGGAGCATCCCTGAGATATATCGGGCTTGTAACACGCTCCTGGATTGAGATAGGCGGGAAGGCAGGGACCGTCGGTTGCTCTCGGGAAAGGCCTGGGGTGATTGTCGGGGTATGGGCGGTGTGTTCACGGGTAATCTGGTCAGTGATGACATGCTCACGGACATGCTCACGATTGCCGACATGTTCGCGAGGCAGTGCAACGTGTTCACGGGGAGGCACGGTGACGACATTTTCACGAGGAGGTAAACCGGCGACAGTGATTGAATGCGATCTATCTCGGTGATGTGTGATAGATGGATGAGTGGAGATAGGTGGAATTTGCATCGGAAACGAGCGAGCACGCGGATCCCTGCTACGTGCCCGTCAGATGAATGTAATGCAAGGACCGATGAGACGCACCCTGAAATCATGTCCCTCTCTCTATGAAGCTGCCCCGTTTCCCTCTCAAAAAGCGATTCCCTGAGAAAAGAAGAGAATTCCTGTGAGATAAGCGAAATAAGAAGTGATCGAACCGACCTTGGATCCCTTGGAAAAACGGGTGACCTATGCAGCAAGTGTGAAGAGACGGGCTCATGATTGGATGAATGAGATGATAGCGAAGATATCGAATCCCTATGTATTCGGGTAATGCCTTCTTGAGAAGATATGGAGTCTCGATGAGAATGAGTGACGACGATAGAGTCACGGTGAGAGGAAATTGAGTCGCGGTGAGAAGGCAAAGGCTCTCTGTGTGTCGGTATCTGAGCCAGTGAATCCCTATGCGAAGGTTGAGACGGCGGAATGACCTGCGATGGATGAGAGCCTATGGAATCCCTACGAGCTCGATAATCCGTATGAGACATTGGGTCCCTACCAAGGGCTTCCCTTGAGGCGACTTCCCTCTGAGAGTGGGATGACATCGGAATAGAGCCCATCGAGTCCCTCCGGGACCGGGCGGTAACAGAGTCTGTGTGAGATGTAGAGTCTCGGGAAGACTGAGACGGTATTGTGTCTCTATACACCAACAAGTCTCTGGAATCTCTCGGTGTGGGGATGGCCTCTCTGTGTGATAACGGGGGGATGGCGAAGGCATGGTGCTGTTGTTGGAACGTGGGCGGGCTGCGTACGATAGATTCACGGGAGTGCAAGACGGAAGGACTGGTTACACGGTCCCTGGATGAGAAAGATTGAGGGAAGATAGACGGGCTGGTGACTCGCAAGGTCGGATCACGGACAGATGGTGGGAATGTCGGGGCAAACGATGAAGACGGCGGAAAGGAGTCGCGGGACGA